ATATATATATATATATATGTATATAATAATGCGTAATTAAAATTACTTGTGCACAACTTCAGCTTTCAGTCGGGCTGCAAGAGCCCTTCGTACTTGAAGTATTGAAGGATCTACAGCTTGCGCTGCTTCTAGTTCTTGCTGCCCTTTCATAGTGGCTTCAGCAATTACTCTAGCCGAGCTTGGTCGAGTTTTGTTCATTTCTAGCTGTTGGCTCCTAGCTTCCTTTTTCAAAGCTACGAGTTTGTCTCGCCTGGCTTTCAGATATTCTTGCCTCTTTTTAATATCTTCTGCATTCGTCTGCAATAATGTGTAAGTGATACAATACATTTTTGTTTCCATACACATTGCAGATTGGAATCTTTTATTCGTGTTTATGGAAAATTATTTGTACGCGTATTGACATCGCATAACTGCAAATAAATCAGAAGTAAATACCTCTTCATCTTCATCAGATTTCTTTTTTGAAGTCGGTATTGGCTTGAGAGGCCCCATCTTCCTGAGTTGAAGTTTGTCTAACGGCTCTTCGTCAGCGGACACGGCGGCACACTCAACTTCTTCCGCTGACTCGTCGTCCGAAGTATTTCGAGAGACGTCTTTCGACTTTCTTAATGCTTCTTCCAATAACGCTCTTTCATTTTGATATTCGGCAGCTAAACGCTCGTGTTCAGCAATTAACGTTGTTTCTGAGGACATGCCTGGTTCCTCCTCACTCTGATCTTCCAGAACACGTTTGCTGTGCATACACATACGAAAAATATATATATAATTCCTGTTTCTCCGACACAAAAATCATTGATTTTCAACGTTTTAATTCTTGTACAATGGTAGTTAGTGGTTAGTATATTAATATATTTATGATATAACGTACTGTATCAAATCTTCCATGACCAGTTCGTCGTCGAGGAAACCGTCCGTCTCGTACACGAGGGAGGCAGGTGTGAGACCGTATTTTTGTTCGATCATATTTAGCGCCTGCAGCTGGAGCTCCAGGTTCTTTTGTATCATCATCCTTTTGAATATCTCGTACTCATTCGCCGCCCATATTTGTTCGAATAGATTCTATCAAACACGTGGCAAAATTTATAAATTTTCAAAGAGAGAAAGACGGCAATTCAATTGTTAATAGAGGCAAATTGTACCGCGTGATTTTTACATCTTTACCATTTATTTTTACATAGATTAATCTCTTTAAGAAGTATTACATACAATGTCAATTTCCTTTTCTTTTATATATATATATTAAATACACGCAAATTTCTTTTTAATCTTATGAAACGAAACATAATTCGCCAGCATATGCGGGCGTACGTATGTGAGTGTAGTGGTCATACTTGTTGAAAATGTATCGGGATCTTTGTATCTCGGTTAACGGTGCACGCGTGCTCGAATTGTTCCGGTGTGATACCCATATCTTCCATAAAGCACCCGAGCAGCAAGTCAACCAAGTTTTTGTACTCCTGATATATTTTCCGATACTCTTCGCAGTCTTCGGTGTTGGCCTCGAAAACTGCAACATGTTAGGAAAACTTTATACTTATATATTTATGTTATTACGTATAAATGCGCCTTGTTACGTAACACTCGGCAGAAAGTTTTCCAATTTCGCAAAGGCTTCCGCTTTCATTGCAGAATAAATCTATGAATATATCTCAAAAGATATCGATAGAGACGAATGTGATTTCGTTACGGAGCTACACGCTATGCGAATTTCTCGATCTTTCTTTTTCTTATTGCGTATTAAAGATTTAGTTGAAGAACACTGACGAGCTCCGTCGAGAGAAAATATAAAGAGAATATTTCCGACACGGGGCTGTACGAACCGAGGGACTTTTCCTCGATGAAAGTCAGCAGAGGTGAAGACCAAATGGGACCTTGCAGAAATCCAATCAAGGAATCGAACACCCAAGCGCTGTCATCCTTATCGTTCATTTCGCCCGAATTGTTTTTGAACGTCACCTCGTGAATTCGCTGCACACTTGCTTCGAGTGTCTCCTCCGCAATAGTACGTCTCCGACGTCGACACTTCTCTTTTAACTTAGCAAGTTGTAGTCATAGTTACGACGGACAAAACATGGGCCGTTGGAATTAGACTTGCGTCGGTATTATTCATCAGAATCGATGAGCGTGTCTTCCTTCGGTCTCAATTACAGGTAGATACCCGGAAATCACTGCAAAATATGCGGAGTACTTGAATATTTATCTCGGTGAATATATCGAATCCGAGCACTTGCCATCTCCGTTCGGATAGCAAGAAAGAAACGTTTCACCTGATTCGTTTATATCAAGATATATAAGTGAAAAGATTCATTATAGTTTTTGCAAACTGCAAAGTTTGCAAGAAAAATTTTATATAATTTGCAAAATGCGAAACACTCATTGATTTATACGGTATTTTCAATTTTTGTAGTATACGGTATTTTTCATGTCTCCTGGAAAGAAAAGAATAAGATTAATCCAAATTATTTATTTGAAATTTGGAAAAATGGATCTACCACCTTTTGAGAAGAGTTTCTCGAGATTTTCTGTTATAGAGAAAAATAATACATATATGTAACAATTTAAAATTTAAATTTAAATTTCTACGAAGAGAATTCAAAACACGCTGGTCAGAAATTTTGCAGCAAGCAATTCTGCCGGTCGAATTAATCGCTAATTAAGTTAAACAAAAAGTTTAATTACTTTCGTGTTAGCGTTATTCGTTAACGACAGCAAAGATTCGTCAATTTCTTTTCAAAATTTCGCCGTGCCTCATTCGTCAATGCGCGCAGAAGAAAACGTATACGCGACGCGCTGCGTCGCCGCGTGACACAAAAGTTTATATAAATAAAACAAATTGGTGGGAGCGAGGGGCGGGAGGAGGAGGAGGAAGAGAAAGGGAAGGGAATCGACGACTACGCGCTCTCCCGGCGCGCTAGAGAATTTTCTGGCCGGTAGAGAATCCCCCCTCCCCCCTGTGGCTCGTAGCCCCCGCGTGGCCCCCGTGGGTGCCGGTAGTGCCGGGCGCGCCGGATCAGCGATCACAGCGCCCGCGAGAGAGCGCGTTGTCAGGCCAGGGGCTACAATCTCCCATGGTTTTGGAGGAGCCAGCGTTTGTGGCGCCCTCGCTGTATGTCACCCACAAGAGCTGAACTAATAATCAATATGGCTGTCGGTATCAGTCGGTATTTTCCTTTTGATCACGCGTGATCACGCATTACACAGGTTGAGGTTACTGTTCATTACTGTTATTAAAATAATCAAGTGTTATCCAATATTACGTGTTTTGAATATCCGACCTGATCCAATCAGACTAACAAGAAGCTATAATTGCTAATTAACTGGTGAGTAATGTGGTAACTGATTTATTATCTCAATTGGCGTTCTGTTAGTACATTTCACAATATTATTATTACTTGTTGTTATTAGGTCGCATTATTACCACTATAAATTACCCTCGCTATAAAATTGGTAATATGGTGAGAAGATGTTGTGTCTCGGAATGTCGGTCGGGAAAAAACGTTCTCTCTCATGCGTTCCCAAAGGATGTCGAACGTCGCAAGAAATGGTTTCAAAAATTAAATATGAAACAATTAGAAGATGAAAGTGAAATTAAAAAGTTAAGAATATGCTATAAGCATTTTTGTAATGATGATTACAGCGGTTCTCCAACAAGAAGAATATTACTGCACTTTGCAGTCCCATCTGTGCTTGTGTCACAACACATATCAGAAGTATCACAACATGTATCTGAAAATATTAATGTCGATTATAATGAACATGGAAAACAACATATAGAACAACATGAAGAACAACATGAGCAGACATTGCATATATCAGAAGTATCACAACATACATCTGAAAATATTAATGTCAATTATAATGAACATGGAAAACAACATATAGAACAACATGAAGAACAACATGAGCAGACATTGCACATATCAGAAGTATCACAACATATATCTGATAATATTAATGTCGATTATAATGAACATGGAAAACAACATATAGAACGACATGAAAAACGACATGAGCAGACATTGAACAGACAAGAACAAACATTGTTGCACGAACAAGAGACGTTGCAACAACAAAACAATATGTTGTTGCGACAAGAAAAAAATGAAAAAGCATTGGCTGAACAGCAAATTGAACTGCAAAAGTATAAAGAAGC